GCGGACAGGTCACTGTCCCCCCTGCAAGGACCCGTGTCCGCTTTAAGAGGAGCTGTGCTGGGAAGTCGATGAGACGCACGAGGACACCAGGGAATTAATGAGTCTGGTCGTCACTCGTAGACTTTCATGCCAGGAATCTCGTCTCATCTTCACGGCAGCCGGGGGAGGTGGGTGTTTGTCTTGATGCTAAGATTCAGAGTGACTTCGCGAGCCCCGGTCCCACGGTGGCTGGGCGGAGGAGCTGGCCTCCTGCCCTGGGCTACCCCAGGGCCTCTGCCTTCGCCCCACGCCAGGCCACACCCCTGTACTGAGAAGGTATCTCCTGCAGTAAAACGTTCCTGATGATTCTAGAACAACACCGTCTTCCCAGGGCCTCTGCCAGAATTCCCGTTGGCTCTCTCGTCCGCATCAACACCCCTGATCCTGACACTAGCCTGCTTCAGAGGAAGAGACCGAGGGTCAGAGAAGTCTCCTGCCCAAACTCACAGAGCCGTTAAGAGGCAGAGTCGGAACTCAGACCCGCCGAGCCCTTTCTGTCCTCCACGCGTGGTCTTCCTCGAGGCGGACCTGGAGCCCGGCTCGGTCACAGCTCCTGTCACAGCTGCTATGGCCGCCTTCGTGCGCGTCAGTCCTGCAATTTGCATGAGAATAGTCGCTTCACAGCTTGGGCAATTCCCAAGCCTCATCCCGAGAGCCAGGCCCTGAGAGCGAGAGAGAGACACACACGCATGTAATGACATAATTATGCTCACCGGCAGCCAAGTCCCCACTCAAAGCCCGGAGGACAATGGGGACCCGCCTGGCGCGTGAGCCACAGCCCGGGCTTCGCTGGACAGCCGGCGACTGATCTTTGGGAGCTCCGTCCCCCGCGACGGCTGAAAGCTCGTAAACGAAGCGAGTTGGTCCCGCGAACAATGCGGACCCCACGCAGAGCTACTGTGGCTTTGCCGTCGCGGGGCGAGCGTCATGGTTCCCCAGGAGCAAATGTCACGCGCCTCCCTTTGCTTTGACGTCACAGCGACCCGTTGCAAAATGAAAACCCCCCAACGATCCTCTGACGGTTTCATCCTTGTGGGCTGTGCTGCCGTCTGATCTCTGAGGTCTCTCTCCTGAAACTGGAAG